TGAACCCTCCCATGAACTTTTTGAAGACACCTCACACAAGTGTGTGCAGCTGCCAAGCACCATGCCAGGTGCTCTAAATAACTTTTCTCTGGGATAGAGATCAATGCAGCATAGTAAGTAGGACAGCCATTCCACAGGAAAAATGGCCACCCTACCTTCCTGCCTAGCCACAGAGTGGAGCAGGAGAGAGACCAGGAGTGGAAGCCCAGGCTGACACAGCCATCCAATTAGCTCATCCTCTCCAGTCCATCTTTACCAGAAAACCCTATACCCCAAACCCAGCATGGGTTTCAACAAAAAATCGTATCTCTTAGCACCCTTCTGCCTCTGGCCTCAAGTACATGAGCTTCAGCAATTCCTAGGTAAAAACATTTTAAAATAAATTCAGTTAGTGAGAGCCTAGGTTCTCGTAGTCCCCCTTGACCACACTTTACTTCCAGCCTCCAAATCTTTGTCTGTTTTTTCCCTAATGAATTATTTAAAATAATGCCCTTCCCAAATACAATGGAAGCAAAGGTATATATTTATTTCAACTTCAACAGTCAACAAAAATGTGAGCTCTTTCCTAAGAACTGTAGTCAATTCTGAAGAAACACGACGAGTTGTCAGGGAGGACCATGGATTTAGACAGATGCATGAAAAATTGCTTCCAAAACAACATTTATATACAGAGAAGCAGGCAAAGACATGGGAACAGATGAGAAGGAATTTCACTCTGCTAATCAGCTGTTTCCTCTAAAACAAAAGTTAGTCAAGCATACTAGAATTAGCTCTAGGAGAAGCTTTTCACCATGGGTGAGAGTTATGGTCCAAAAGGCCAGTTTTCTGGGTCTCACTATGAGCCGGGCCCAGGCTTCTGAAGAGCTCTGATTGGGTTGTTTTCAGGATCAAATGTAATAGCAGGCCAGTGAGCACAATGCAAACAAGTGTGTCACGACTTTTTCAATGACCCAATATTACATATTACATGTGTTTTTCCAAGGTGCAAGAGCACTTCATAAATGACACCAAGTCTGAGCAGATGACAAAAACTTGAATTACAGAGTCTGGGACATCATTCCCCAAATTACTGTCGTTCATTTAACTTGAAACTTGAATATGGTTAAGTCGTTTAAAGACTGATTAGTCACTTTCTAGCCAGACCAAGAGTTTGCCTCTGCTAACAGCTATTGTTGGAATTCTGAGAGAATCTCAGTCATTCACTATCTTGTTAACTATTCTAATCCTATTTCATTTGGAAGAGATGATTTCAAGAGAATCAAGTTTTCTTCACACTATGGAGAAGAATCACTGTACAAATGACTTGCTGAATGATGGAAGCATGAGCTCCCATTACCCATGAGCAATGGATTTACGGAGCTCTATCACTTGGCTGGAATAATCTACTCATTTCACAGAGACTTTCCAAATTAACACAAAAGGCTGAGCTTTATTCTGTGCCCCAAGTGCTCTGTTAATACTGTCCAAACTTACAAATGAATTCCAGTTTAGTTGAGAATGCGTTCGAGGTAAAAATTAGGAAGACTGTAAGCCTTCTGGAAGCTACTGGGGAATAAAATTGTAAAATAAAAATAAAACTCTGGGTAAACCTTTCCAAGTATCCCTAATTTCAAGTGTCCTATAAGTAGAATTAACAGACACATAACTACCAAGCTACTGTTTCTCCTTACATTGCAAAAGATGGTGGTCAGGGCCAGGCTGAGTCCTGATTCTGCTTAAGTCCTGATTCTGCTGCTTGCTCAAAGGGCAATATCTACACCACTTATACCAACATC